TTTTAATATGAAAATAAAATATAAAATAGAAATATTATTAATTGTATTTTTACCAATTGGTGGACTGAAAAAATTGAAAAAAGAATCGTTCTGAACAGTTTTTGTTACTGTTCGTATGGACCCTCGAGACTTATGTTTCTGATTTTTTTTTATAGTTTTTACTGTAACATTCTTTCCTTTCTTCCAATCAATTACACATCCCTATAGAAATAATTAAAATATATATAATTAAAATATATATATATATATATATATATATATATATATATATACACATATATGGTAAATTTAAATACTTTTTATATAAATATTATTAGAAAATAAAGAATAATATAGATGTATATAATTTATAAACATATAAACTGAAATTAAGAACAATATTTACCTTACATTTGTATATTTCAGGTCCTTCAAAACTAAAAGGATCATTTTTATCAGGGGTACACTTCATAATGTATTCCTTTGTTAAAACTGAATTAGAAAAGTATTCATTTGGCGCAAAATGGAATTCAAGAACAAAGCCCTATAAAAAATCTCATTATCTTTAATGAAATTTTTTTTTACTTTATATTTTTTATTTATTATTATTTTTAACTAGATATATACATAATAAGATAAGATAAGAAATAAGATTTATACATGCATCTAATTATTCTTATGCATGTAAATTATATGAAATTTTTTGATTTTATAGCAATTGAACGATATATATCTATATATTTTTCCAACTTACCATTGGATTATCAAGAAATATCACTCTAATATCATATAAATGTTTGAGTATTGCCTCATCATGTTCCTGAACCATATCAGCTAATGTTTCAACATTTTTAAATATTGTGAGCCAAAAATCTGGGATGCCTTTAATATCTTCATTTTCAACTCTAAAATAATTCATTAATAAGAAGATCAATGTAGAGGACAATGTTTAATTATTTTTCAAATAATTTAGAATAAGAAATCTTTGAAATAAAAATTAATTTAGCATAATTTATTAGAATAGATTAGAATAGAAAATATAATAAATCTATTTAGAAAGTGTTTTAAACAAGTTAATAAAATTGTTTAGAAATTGTAATATTTTTTATTTGTTTTAAATATTCTTTTGTAACATAAAATGATTGAAATAAAAATTGAGTGCATTTATTTTTAAATAAAAATTTATGTAATGAATAATAACAATAAAAATGAAATAAATATTATATTTAATAAAAACAAAATGATCATACTCTTCTTTTTTCTGTTCTTTATCATCTTCGAGATTCACTTTTGTTTTTAAATCATTAGTTAATCCTTCTTCATCATCATCACTCTCCCATACACATTGTTCATCTGTCGGTTCATAGACACCAGATACTATTTCACTTCTTTTTTCATAAAGAGGGGCACACATTTTATAATAAGCACATTCCAAGGCATGAACTTCTTCATAAAATTTTGCTTCAATATTAGTTGTAACTAATTGTAATTGTTTCAAAGCTTTAATTCTGCGTTTTACAGGAGCTGGAAGATTCTGCATTTGCTAAAAATTGAAAATATCTTTTTAAATATTGTTTTTTCTTTTATTTATAATATCAAAATGATTAATATAATGAATATAATAATATAATAGTATATCATCCAAATAATATTTATCTAACACATATCCTATCCTAATTATTTTAATTCAAAGCAAAATATTTAAATTGATTTTATAAAATTTTGATTTTTTAAGGAAAAATATAAGATATAATAAAAAATTAAAAAATATTACAAACAATACTTTAATTATAAGTACTTGATTATGATTGAAACATTTAACATATAAATAATTAAAAAAACATTATGATATAATCTACTGTAATGCATATTATAGTCTATACTAATAGTCAATTATCAAGCAAAAATTTCATAACATATGTTAACTTAAATAAAATAAAAAAGGAATGAAATATAATTAAATATAAAACAAAATTATATATATACAATCAAGCAAATTATGATATTAAAAATTTATAGTAATAACATTAATATTTTTTTAAATTTTGTATGGAATCTCTTTTATAATATTTTTAATTAATTAAAAAATTTATAATATTAACCAATCATATTAATAGATATAGTAAGATAATTTTAATTATCATTTTAATTATCAATTCAAATTAGAATTTGAAATTTTACATAATATTGCATAATTTTTTTTTAAAGAATTATCTATATATATATTATTATTATATGTAAATTATTTTATATAATATGAAACATTAAGAAAATTTGAATAATCAAAATTTCAATATTAAAAATCTCATTATGTAAAATTAAATGTTAAATAAAATTCATTATTTTTAATTTTTCATTTCAAAAAGTTTAAATTACGATTATAACATAATCTTTTTCTTATTATAAAAAAATTTTTTTTTAACTTTTTAATCTGTTTATAATTCACAATATTAAATTTGAATACCTCTATCCCAGGTGCAGTACGATCTTGTAGAGCAGCTAACATGTCAGACCTATTTAAAGCTTTAGCAAAAAGCTCTGGAGCTTTGTTATCGTCTTCATCTTCAACAGATTCCATTTCACTATTATCTCCAGCACGCTCTGGATCAGTTGTCATAGTACTATAATCTAAATTTATTTTATTTATTTATAAAAAAAATTTACATAATAAAAAAATAATCTTATTAGAAAAAATATAATAAATAAAAAAAAGTTATTAAATAAAATAAACTTATTAAAAATTTAAAAATTTCTTAATCTTTTCTAATAATAAGAAATAAGTAATGTTGTATATAATTTATTTTAGAGAAGAATTAGAAGAATTAGAAGAAGAAGAATTAGAAATAACAAAATATAATAAAAATATTTTTTATATTATATATAAAATTTAATATGTAAAAAACGAAATAATTTGAACATCTTTTATAAAAAAATATAATTTTTTAATACTCTTTTTTTTTAACTTAAAAATATATAAAATATGCAAGACAATAAATATATTTTATTTAATTTTAAATGAAATAATTTTTTTTATTAAAATTTAAATCAACCGATTATAGTATAAGAGATTTCATACATATACATATTATATTAAAGAATGAAATAAATATTTCAAATTATTATTAAATAATTTGTTATATTATAAATTATATTACTAAATATCTAGTAACTAAACAAATATTCCATTTCAATAACATATATTTATATTTAAAATCACATTAAAAATTATGATACTCATGTTAAGAACATATTTCAATCAAATTTTTTTCAACCAATTAGAGATTAACATAACATTTTTTATTTAAAGATAAAAAAAATTATGAAAAAAAATATATATATTTAAAAAAAAAAAATTTTAAAAAATGATTATATCTAAAATCATGTAAAAACAATAAAATGTAAAACAAGTATATCAAAGAACAAGATATAAAATAAATATCGAATATCCATTTCAGAATAAAGAATATAGCATAGATTAAAGTCATAAATGCACAAAAGTATTAAAATTCTGTTGCACGTTGCGGTATATTATCTATTAAACATGCACGAAAAATATCATAAATCCTATCTACATATAACTGAGAACGAATATACGTTTTTTAAAATATTTACACGTAATGAATTTTCCCAATTTGATTTGATTTCGGTACAATGTTGAACTGACATTTGAAAGTCACCATATTCATAAAGAAAAAAGGTTATTTGATGAAGCACGCAAAGATCATAAAAAAAGCGGAAATCACATTAATTCATCAACTATTTGTCAGATTCAACTACGTCACATTTATTATACATTCTATTCTTTTGTTACATATTTAATAGAACAATATAGAACAGTACAGAAATCACGAAACTATCGTAAGGTTCAATTTTTGCATACAAAGAGCGTGCACATGGAATAAATGAAAAAAGCAATAATTTTCAGGGTTATAAATGCATGAAGGTTTAAAAAAATAAAATACAATTATTTTTAAGTAAAAACATTATTTCAAAATGTTTAAAGATTGAAATAAAAGCATTAAAATCAACGACAAACATACCTTTCAAGACTGAAGCTGTTCACAAAAGAAGAACGGACCACAGAACGGACAACGAACCGGTCGTTGTATCGTTACTTTCGTGTAGTAAGTCGCACAATACGAAATTAGTTCCTCTTCTATCCTTTTCTATTCTTGTTAAGTATTACAATCATATAATTCAAAAAATCCCTATTTTATTTTTTCAAATACGAATGTTAATCATTTTTAACATAATAAAAATTAAAAAAAAGTCAATTTTCATGATTTTTTAATAAAATATTTCATATTTTTATTGAATCTTTAAATAAAAAAAAATTTCGTTAAAAAAAATTTTAATTTATAATATACTAAAATAATTTAAAATAATTTCAAAATTATAATGAAATATATTTGTCATTAAAAAATTATAAATAATAAATCTCTTTCTTTTTTTATAATAATGATTTTAATCTTATAATTTTATAAATTTTACTTATCAAAATATTAAAAAAATTGTAAATGCAGCTTAATATTAATTATCATTGAAAAAGATTCGTTTTTTATAAAATATTTTTAATAAAAAATATAATTATAATAATACAAAATTAGCTAATAATTAGAATTTTTTCAAATTGTTTTAAATTAGAAAAAAAATTTTAAATGTATTGCATTTGATAAATATTTATTTATTTTGATAAATATTTTTCCAATAAAAAATAGAAAATAACATCGTAAATTTTTTGAGTTTTAACTTCTATTCACGTTGGTAATACATATTTTATTTCTAGTTCTACTTCATTTCATCGTTTATCTCGAAAGAGAATAAGATGGCGTAGTGACGTCATATCCGCTCGAGACGAAAACTTAACGTAATTCGCTAACACGTTTTCGCCTATAATACCATTCCTTTAGGCTTGGCGCCTTCGTCAAATGCAGTGAGCGTCGGTGTACGTAAAATGGCGGACGGTGACATTGATTTGTACGCCGACGATCTCGAGCAAGATTTCGCGCAGGTAATTCGTTTTTATCATTGTTAATAAGTACCAAGTCGGTGGGTAAATATTATTGTTAATTGATTATCTCTATAAAAAACATTCGAAACTGTGAGAAAAAAAGCGATAGTAAAGCGAGGTTCTTCGGCGTCATGGAGGAGAGATGGTAACGATTGTTCGAAAGCGGTGTCTGATTCTTGTTCAGACGGAACACGAGTTTTAACATACATTTCGTTCGTGATGAATAGCTGTTGCATTTAATTATCACAACCGATAAACATTTTCTATATTCTGTTATATAATTACCGTGATTTGCACACGTTCGGTTGCATCGAAAACTAAAAAGCAAATACATAATACAGATTCACAGCAAGAAAAGCAAAATGGTGTTAGCGGTAAGGCAAATGTCGTAGCATTTTATTCCTCCATTTCGTTTATCACTTCAGTTTAATAAAGGTTTTATTATTGCATGTGAAACACCGTTTTCTTTTTAATTATTATTTTAAAGAATTTTATTATTATTATTATTTTTGTTTTCTGATTTGTTTCATGATTTTTTTTTATCTATGATCATTTTAAAATAAAATCTTTTTCATTTTATATGCCTATATTATATTATATTAATAAATAAGTTATGTTAATTTTTCTGAAAAATATATATATATTTCTAATAATTTCTTTATTTTTAATTTTTTTTTATATTTTATTATATTATTTTTTTAATTTCTTGTTTATAAATAATTTATATTTTTTAAAATTATTCAAATTTATATTAATATTTTGTAAGAAATATATTTCTATACTTTTAAAAAAATATTTTTTATGATTATTGTTTTATATAGATATGCATTTATTGCATATATAATACAAAGGAATAAAAAAAGTTTAAAAGAAATATTATTTATTTTAAAACGTATATTATTGTATATAAAATTTAAAAATTATTTTTTATTAAAAAACTTTAGAAAATAATTCATAAAATAAAAATTTTTATTAAGATTAATTAAAATTATATATTATGTATATGTTAAATTATATATATGTTAGATTAAAATTTTTTAATAACATTGAAAATTTTTTATTTAATTTAAAATAGAAATTAGAATTTCTATTATTTTAATAGAATTCTATTTTAAATGTACGATTATAATATTTTAAGTTTATTTATTTAATAAATAATCTTTAATAAAAATAATATATTTTATTAATATATTATGAATGAAATAAATTGATATGTTATAAATTTTTCTAAAAAAATTAGATAATTAGATAACATTAGGTTTTATTTATATAAATATTGGAATTATATATTATTTTTTTAATCTAATTAATATGATGAATTTTTATGATACTCAATCTGCTTATTAACATTTATTTAATTTATTTTAGGATGAGTTTGCTGGTGATGGTGTTGATTTATATGATGACGTGATAGCAGCTCCTGCTGGTGGTAATGGCGGTGTTTCTACAGGAAATAGTGGAGATGGCGGAGGTGATACTACTTCACCAAATGAAGAAACAAATGGTAGTGCACCTTACCATCAACTTGGAAATAACATTCAACCAAATCAAATTGGAAGACGTCATCAATTATATGTTGGAAATTTGACTTGGGTATGTAATTAAACATTAATTTATTTTTATTAATTAATATATATTTTAAAAGGAATGGATATTTTTTTATAATTAAACTTATTATTAAAATATATTCATATTATAGTGGACAAGTGATCAAGATATAACTGATGCAGTACAAAGTATTGGTGTATCAGATTTTGTTGAAGTAAAATTCTTTGAAAATCGAGCCAATGGACAATCGAAGGGTTTTTGTGTAATATCTTTGGGTTCAGAACAAAGCATGAGAATATGTATGGAAAGATTACCTAAAAAAGAATTACATGGACAGAATCCAGTAGTAACATTTCCTACTAAACAAGCACTGAATCAAGTAAGTATTGATATATATATATATATATATATATTATTTATAAATTATTAGAAAAAAAATAATTAATGTATCTTAAGAGATTATGTTTTTTATAAACTTTTAATATATATAATCATAAATAACATAAGATTGAATATAAATTTTTTTTCTTTTTTTTTTAAAAAGATGAAGTTGCAAAATATTCTTTTTTTAGAGAAATGTAAGATTTATAAAAACTAAATATACTATTCATTATTAAAAATTCTACTATAAATTCAATATTTTGTAACAATAATGATAATATAATTATATTATTATTCTATATTTTTTCTTCTGTTTTTATTGAAATTTATTTAAGCGGAAATTAATTTTTTAAATTTAAATAATTTTGCATATATAATAAATTTTTTTTAAAATTAACATACATAATTAAATTTATCAAGAAATTAATATTGTTATTTAAATAACTTTTTTCAATCAAAAGTTTCAATCATAGTTTTAGTATCAGTTAAACTAGACATATCTATAACATTGACTGTTCAAAAATTTTTAAAAAAATATGTATTTCCTTTTTTAAATTTTTTATTTCTTCCTTTGTTTCAATAATTTGTTGCATTTTTGTAGAAACAATATGAATTTCTTGACGGCTTAGTCATTTTTTTTCCTAATGTTAATAGATGAATATAGATTTGACATTTTGTTATATTTGAAAATTTTGTATATTGTTTTCAGTTTGAGTCTCAGTGTAAGACACGTCCAGCTCCGGCTCCTCAACAAAGTCAGAGTCAACGCCCTCATAATCCACATCAACATCAGCCACCAATGCCACCTCATCAGCAGCATCCACAACATCCTCAACATCCTCAACATTCGCAACAAAATCATGGTCCTAGAATGATGATGGGTCCTCCACAGGGCGTGAGACCACAAAGAATGCCACCTCCAGGCATGGGTCCACCAGGTCCAGGTGGACCTGGTCAACAAGGTCCACCTCGCATGCATGGTCCACCAATGGGTCCAGGACCTGGACCACATCATCCTTTACCTGGACATCCTAATCAAGGTCCACCACCTCCTGGTTATCAACAAGGGCCATGGAATGGACCAAGACCTAATGGTCCACCTGGACCACCAAGAGGTCCAAATGGACCTGGTGGTCCACCTCAGCAAGGACCTCCAGGACCAGGTCCTGGTCAACATCGACCTCCTGGAATGGTATGTAATATAAATTATTTTTTTTTTACATATGAATTCATGTTATTTATTTTTTTACTAATCAATTTTTTATATTTAAAATTTTATTTATTTCAAAATGATTTTTTATATATAAAATTTAATTTATTAGAAATCTTAAAAAATTTTTGTAAATTATATTTAAAATACAATTATTTAATATATTGATTAAGATATATAAAATTAAAAATCAATGAATTAAATAATTAAATCGAATAGTTAAATAAAACTTATTGCAGTATTTGTATTTTATGGAATTGATTATGTTTTAATTATATAAAGATTTTCTTATTAATATTATTAATAATTATTATAAAATATATAATATATATATAATATATAATATATATAACGTATAATTATCTAACATTAAGAATAAAATTTTTATTTTAAAAACAAGAGAAAGAATTAATATATAAAATAAAATATTTAAAAAAAAATATTTAAAAATTGTGTGATTTTAAGAAATTTTATAATATTTTATATTATAGAGAGGGAGAGGGGGGGGGGAGATATAATGATGATGATGATAATGATGATGATGATGGAGGATGGATGGTATAAATTACAAGAATGTTTTTTGCGCTTACATGTCTTACGTTCCGCGTAAACAGAGTTGCTCTAGAGACCTTTCAGAAGCCAGTTACCATATACCACAGGTAACACACAATGTGTTATTTTTCCTGCTTTTCACGTTGTAAAAATTCTCCATATTTCATACTTTTTCGATATTCATTTGTTCATCATATTTTTAAATGCAATATTCAATTAAATATTATTGATATTAACAAATATTAAATCTAAATTTTAATTTATATAATTTCGCAATTCTAAAATATTTAAAATTAAATTTATTTTAAAAAAAATTTAGATATATTAAAAAATAAAAAGAATTCTAATTTTATTTATTAATATTTCATAATTTAATTATTTTTCTTTTGAATAAAAAGATTAAAAAACAAAATTGCGTATTTTTATATTATTAAAAAATAAAAAATTTAAATATTTTTATATATCAATTTTTAGAATTGAGAATATTTAAAATTTGTTAGAATTATTTATTGTTATAAAAAATATTTCATTATAGATTTATTATCATGAGATATGTATAACATGAAAAGCTTTCTCAAAAATCTATCAAATTACTTTTTTTCAATTTTTTAATATCTAATTAAATTTTTATGATTGAAAAATTTTTGATAAATTAACTGGCTCTGATATATGTTTTTGTCGATAGTTTAAAAAATAAAGAGTTTCAATATTATAATTTTTATTATTAATTTATGATTATTTATGATTATTTTTGTAATTCTAGTAGTAATAGTAATTCAACTTACTAATCCATCTCGTTAATAATTAATTTATTTTTAAAATATAAAGGAATTTTTAATTTAATTATAATAGATTGAAATAGAGTCTTCGTTTGTCTCCATTCGACAATTTCATGGTGGTCCGCCTGGTCCGCCTGGTCAAGGACCTCCACGTGGTCCACCTGGACATCCTGGTGGACCTCCAGGTGATCCAAGAGGTGCTAAACCACGTCCCGAATGGAATAGACCACCAGGTTTGTTAAATATCACAATTCATCATAATTTATATATGAAACATCTTGGACTTTCATGCTCTGTTTTTCCCTTCATTTTATATATTATTATGGTAAAATTCTTATTTTTTTACAGCTTATAAATTTGCATGATAAAGTAGATATACAAAAATTATCAAAATTAAAATTCAAAATAAGACACAAAGAACTTTAGATCATTTTAAATAATGAAGCATCATGTAATAAAATTATTGTAAAAGAAGTTCACTGATGTCATTGTTCAATGTGCATAGGAATGCATCATGGGCCTCAGGGACCACCAGGTTTCCCTCAACATCAACATATGCAAGGCCCTCAACCTGGTCAAGGCCCACCACAGAGAGGACCTCCTCCAGGTTCTATGGGTGGTGAGAAATTTAGGATGTTCCTTGAATATTAACAATATTGCTATTATTAATTTTTTATTACAATAATGCATGATATTGAGGGAAATTTTATGCTTAGGAGTATGAAGGTACAAGGTGTTTCACAAAAAAATAACAGAAAAATAATTCTCTTTATATTATTAAGTTATTGATAAGATACATTGTTTATATATATATATATATATATATATATATATATATATAAAGAAATTGATTATTTATAAAATGATACAAAAGAAATAATTCAAAAAAATAATAGAAATAAATCAAAAATATTTAAAAATAAAAATTGAACATTACATATTTTTGAAAATTTATTTTTGTGTATTTTTCAAGAAAAATTTATTAGTTATTAAAAGAATTACAAATTCTTAGTTTATGATAAAAATATTTTGATACTAATATTATTATAATTGCATTGTGCAAACATATCCTAAAGCAAGAAACAATTTATCAATTCAATTATAATTATTTTGCCTAATCCAAAATTTTTATAAGCTTGCTATATATATATTTTGCAAGCTAACATAGATATTGATCAGGAATGTTACCAGGTCCAGGAGGACCACCACCTGGTCATGGAGGTCCACCTCAAGGACCACCACAAGGACCTCCAGGAGGACCTGCACCACATGTGAATCCAGCATTTTTCCCACAAGGACCACCTCATCAGCATCCAGGTCAACATCCACCAGGCCCTCCTGGTCCACCTCATGGACCACCTCATGGTCCACCACATGGTCCACCTCATGGTCCACCACATGGTCCACCTCATGGTCAACCACATGGTCCACCCCATGTGCCTCCTCATGGTTATGGACCACCCGCAGCACAGGTATATTGTATTTTATTTTGTTTTCATATTAATATATTATAAATATTTTATATTATATTTTAAACTTTTTATTAAATGATTATTAATTATATTTGCTGATAAATGATGATTGTTCAAAACTCTTTAATTTTTTTTAACATCTTTGACCATCTTTAATAAATATAATTATGTATAACCTTTATGAAAAATTATATATTTTCAATAATAGAATTTAAATGAATTAATAATGTCCAAAATTCTTTTAGATTAGAATTAGATTAGAATCTCATTTGGAATTAGATTATTTTAACATTTTGATAAGATATATTTTGCATTTTAATAAAAATATTTTAATAGTAAAATAAACATAAGGTTTTTTAAGAATAATTATGTTTAATTAAAATCTTAACTTAAAATCAATTCTAGAATAGAAACAAATAAAATCTATAAAAAATTATTCTATTTTTACTAATTTAAATTATTAAAATATAAAATTTTTTTAAATAAATAAGAAAGAATAATAATAATAGAGAAATAATAAGAAAAAATAAGGAAGAGTAATAATAAAAAAAGTAAAAAAAATATCTGAAAATATTATACATATACATATTTATCTTTTTTAGAATACATTTTATTTTTATACTTAATAAAGATAAATATTTATTAAAAAAAAACATATATTTCATAGCCACCTTATGGCGCACCAGGACCTGATCATCGTCCAGAAGGTCCTCCTCCTCTCACAGAACAAGAGTTTGAAGAAATTATGGGTAGAAATAGAACTGTTTCTTCTTCTGCAATTGCTCGAGCAGTATCTGATGCTGCGGCAGGAGAATATGCAAGCGCTATAGAGACTTTAGTTACGGCTATTTCTTTAATAAAACAATCCAAAGTTGCTGCAGATGATAGATGTAAAATATTGATAAGTTCTCTTCAAGATACTTTACGTGGCGTCGAGACTAAGAGCTATGGATCCGCACGTAGGGGTAAATTTCTTAAATTAATTTCATAAATTTTTTATATCAATTATTTTTCATTTAAGCATCATATAAAAGTTTGTTTTTTAAAAATTTAAAAAGAATTTTTTTACATAATTAATATTTTATAGTTTTTTCTATTTTATTTATAATTATTAAATATATATCAAATTATATCAAACATATATTATATCATATTAATCATATCAAATTAAATTAAATATTAATATACAAATTAAATAATAATATAATTCCTTTTTTCAATACTTTCACTCTATTGATTTTATTTTTATTTTCTTTTTTTTCATTATCATTATTAAAATTTTAATTAAAATTTGATTCAATATAAAATTTTTGTGTTTTAATATTAATATAAAAGATAAATAAACGTAATAAATTTTGCTTTATTATTTAAAGATTTAATAATCTTTTACTTATGAATTAATATTTAATTAATTATTTTTTACTTATATATAAATATTTAATTAATTATTTCAGAACGATCACGTTCACGTGATAGAGAACGCAGTCATAGAAGAAGACGTGAGAGATCAAGGAGCCGTGATAGAGAATACAGAGAAAGAAGCAGGGATAGAGATAGAGAACGTGATAGAGAACGTGATCGTGAAAGAGAAAGAGATCGTGATCGTGACAGAGAACGTTATTACAGTGAACCATATCCACGGGAGAGATCACGAAGCAGAGAGAGAGATCGTGAACGTGAAAGAGATCGCGAATATAGAGAACGAAGCAGAGAAGAAAGGTAAGCTTAAAATTTTACATAATTATTTTAATGTCACACTGGATGTACCATTTTATTTTAATTGGATCAAAAATAATAGTCACGTATGTGTGTGATTTAGAAAAAAGAAACAAATACAATAAGTTTATATAAAATATACGACATTTATATTGTAACGAGCCGCATATACTAAAGTACATTATGTATCTTAAAAACTATTTAGATACAAGAAATTTTTTCTTCATAAATAGATATATCATTATATCAAGAATATTATCGTAAATAAGATAAGTTCCATAGATTGTACTATATATTTTTTAAATATTTCGAATCATGCTATAAAAAATATTGCAGAATTCATTCAAAATATTTGAATACTTATTTAAAGTGATAATCGTGCTAAGTTTGATAAAGATGTAGCTAAATTAAATAATAAATACAATATATTCTATGTATAATATCAATAATAAGTTTTAAAAGAAAACAAATGATTTATAGTGTGTTCATTTGTAAAATAGTTAAGAATAATATATATTTACTTAGAAATTGAAATATTTAGGTGGAACAAATTATTATTAAATAATAACAATTATTTGTAATATTTTCTCATGTTTTTACATTGTCTGTATTAATTAATTATTTTAAAAAAATTCATGCAGACAAGAACTGTAGATCATTTTTATATGATCTATGTAATAGTTTTATTTATAAGATTTATAATTTACAATATAATATGTGTATAAAATTTTACTAATCTTACGAAATTTTATTAAAATAATATAAAATGACATTAATCCTTTTGCTGTAATGTATTTTTTATAACTCTAGACTATTATAATTATTTAGAGAAAATTTTTATTAATTATTATATGAAATAATTTAGATTGAATTAATGATTGATAATGAAAAAATGTTAATTTTAATAAAATAGAAATAATTTTTCGTATAATCAATAGCAACAGGATTAATTAAAATGAACATTTGTTATGTTAATTGTTATTAGATACAGAATAAGTATATTTAAATAATATTTTTATATTATTTATATATTTTTAATGATTTTTAATAATTATTTAAAAAAAATATCAATTTTTTGTTCTGCTATTAATTCTGCTTGAAATTAATATTTAAATAAAAATTTAAAATGCTTAATTTATATTTTATGAATTGTTATAATAAATAAAAATGTTAATTATGTTAAAGAATATGTTAATTAAAATTTTAAATATTTATAAAATATAAAAAATAACAATTAACATATCAAATAAATATATGTTTTTACTATTGTAAGTATCAGATTGTTTGATAATATCTACTTTTTATTTATTTTACATAAAAAATAAAATCTCAATCAAAAAATAAAAATACTATGAATTAGAATAATTATTATATTGATACAATATAATACTTTTTACAATATAAAAAGTGGATATTATTTATAAAAAAATCAAATATTTTATGTTCTGCATAGTTATTCAATATATAATTTCAACATGTAAAAGTGATAGGCAAATTATAAATATTTTACTTTAAAGGGTTGTTATAATTCCTATGTTAACTTTAATTTTCTGTGTATAGCAATATAATAATGAGAATATAATCATTTTTACACATTAATAAATCAATTTTTTATAAAAATATATAATATATTATTTTTACAATTTTCAATTTTAAGAACATGTAAAATAAGATTTAATGTTAAGTATCAATATATTTTGTGTTTCTTTTTTTTTTTTTTTTTGAAATACAAATTTAAGAATTAATTTGGTTTTTTTTAACTTTTTATAACATAAAAAGATAATTTTTATAATCATAATAATTCATCTTATTGAAATTAGTTTTAATATTATAATATAAAAATGAAAATAATTAAAAAAATATAGCATATAAGAAATTAATAATTAAATGCAATTATTCAATTATTAGATAGAATATTAATTGTACATTTATAAAATTTAAAAATTACTCAGTGAATATTGGTTAACATAGGAAAACATTTATTATGTATTAGTCACTATAAAATAAAACAGTAGAGAATAATATAGAATAGATATTTTTATATTCATTTTAAAGTAATAGTCATTTTTAATAATCATTTTTTTATACTGAATACTATATATCAATTATTGATAAATTAGTTACAATCAGTAATTATTACTGATTTTCATTAATTATTTTAAAAATCAACATAAATCTTTCTTTTTATAGTATTCAGAAATTAAAAATATTGTGATTTCAATTTTTAAAAAATATGTTTTAGGAATACTTATAATAATAAATATTGTAAAATCATGCATTTGGAATGATTGATGATCATACTGAATTAATCAAATTTTATTGTAAATTGATTCATTCATTTATTATTTTTGAAATATTTAGTATAATACTGAAATTTCAGAATTAGATGACCAATAATAAAAAATGAATGATGGTTCGTAATTTCAATGATTATGAATTTATAGATTAAAATTAATTTCTGTATGTTTGTTAAATACAATAGATGATGGCCAAATTGTGGCTTTTCTAAATATTTACTCTCTCTAATATTTATATACATATGACTTACTATAATTTCTTTTTATAAAGTTTGATTTAAAAAGCGCCAAACAAACAAAAAAATTATGTCGTAATTATAAATCCACGTGCATTTATATAAGAGAAAAATAAGTATATTTATTTATATTAAATCTATTTTCTAAAAAAGATATACGCATGCGCAATTTATAATACCGTTCCAATTGAGTATATGTGATATATAGGTTTTATCGTGATAAGGTTTGGTTACAAATGGATTATTTCAAAATATATTTCAATATATTTCAAAATATTTTAACATCTAAATTTTAATTTCAATATTTTAAATTCAAAGGTAGAAAGCTCTGATATTATAATATTGGTTTACTCGGTATCAATATCTTGATAATTATTTTTATCATAACATAATAGAAATATGTATGCAAGTATACTTTTTATAAAATATTATTTAATGCACAAATTTATAAAATCGTTTAAATCACATTAATTTTCGTCAATAAAAAATTAAAGATTGAAGTTGCATAATAATTTTTTAAAATATATATAATTGAAAAATGTTAAATATAAACGAATTTTAATTTTTTTCCTTAAAGCAAGTGGTATAGTTACATACGATATTTCTCTTTTATTTTTATTGTATATTTGTAATTTTTATTTCTAAAATTATCGCTAGAAAAAGTATGTAAAAAAAAAATATGCATATATTGTAGATATTGCTTTCTATTCAAAACATATTTCATTATGTTTCATAGAAACATTTCAAATGAAATATTTGTAATTATTTAATTTATGAATTATATCTATTTTTAATTTTAAATTTTGAATATTAAAATTTTATATATTTTTAAATATTTTAATCATTTTTTGGATAGAAATTTAATTTTTAGATTATTGGAATTGATAATAATAAAAAAATTAAAAATATCATAATTATTAATATTACGATCTATTAGATTAATAGTTCATAAGTTAAATAATTAATTTTCACTGATAATTATTTTATATCCTATTATAATGTATAAATATTTAATTTAAAATGTACTTTTAAATGCTTCTTCAATTCATATAATATGCATATTAATACAAGATCTGTATATTTATCCAAAAAAAATTTGTAATATCAATTTCAATATCAAGAAGATATTTGTAAAATGTAAAATTATTTATCTATAAAATGGTCGTAATCCTGAAACCATGCAAATATGGAATTGATGAAGCAAAATAAATATATATTCTTTAATGAAAATTATATTCTATCAAATTTAGTCGCTTTTGAGTTGATATTTAAATATTCCGATATGGTTGCAGGTTTAACGACGAATCTTCAAATTTTTTTGAATATGTTTGAATATTATACATGCACTTACATGTATTTGGTAACTATAATTAGTAGTACTTAGAATAGCATATTATCGTATCTTTTAATCTAATTTATATTTTCAATAGAAAAATATTAAAGAAAAAAATTTTATCCTTTACATAAGCATTAAGTTACAGAGTAAGTTCATAATTTCATATAAATTTCATATAAATTTTGCTTAAATTTTAAAAAGAAAAATCATTAATGAATTATATTTTGATAAAAACAAATTAAATTTTTTTATATAATGTAGTTTGTTTTAACTAAAGCAACGTGCTAAGCCTGGTAACAATATAAGTCATAACAAAGTATGCATATTTTCCATTAGTACGACACGTCAGTCAGCCAGGCCAAGAGTAAAAGAAGAACCGCCAGAGACGGCTCCCGTCTCGTCTTCCAAGGCGTCTAGGTAATTTATACTTTTTTTTCATATAACATGAATGCATGTAGACTTTTTTATTGATTTCTATCTTCTTAGATGTGACAATAGATTTCTAGAATTTCTAATAATTATATATTATAATAAATTATATCTATAATTAAAAAAAATCTATAATATTGTATATTAACGATATAATAATTTTATAATATCTATCAAATTATAATTATTTTTAATAAGAAAAAATTAGAAAAAAATATAATATGAAGAAAGAGAAAAAGGATAAATAGATCTTTTAATTTTATCTTGACGTGTATACAATAATAAAGAAAGTTATTTATTTATTAAAAGTTATAGTCATATTAGGAAATTGTTTATTGTAAATAGAAAAATAAGCCAGTTCATGCAATTTTCCTTTATTAAATTTCTTCCCATTATTAAAGTTTTCATTTAAAGTATTTTGTCATCAAATAAATAATATTTATAAAATAATCGAAGATATTTTTATATAGAATTATGTATATATATATATATATATATATATATATATTTTATAATATATAAAGTTTTATAATAAATAAAGTAAAATAATTTTTTAAAAATTTGATTATATTTTCATCTTTTTAAATTTATACTTTAATGAGTTAATTGTAAAAATAAAAATATGAATAAAATGTAAAAGTAATTATAAATAACATAATAATGAGGAAGAAAAATTGGATTGGAAAAAAATATATAATTTAATTAAAGATTTACAAATGAATGCAAATATATTTTTAAAAAAAAAAGCAGAAAAATTTTTTTAAATTTAATAAAAAATAGTATCGGTAAAGTAAGATAATTGGCTGACGTGTACTTGTGTAGGTATTATGACGATCGCTACAGAGAGCGTGAACGAGACAGAGATCGAGAACGAGAATCGAGCCGAAGACCATCAGAGAGAGAACGAGAACCGGAACGTGAACGAGAACGAGAACGAGAAAGAGATCGTCGCGACGAACGTGGAGATTCTTCACATCGTTCGAGGCATTAAAAGTGATTGTACGCTAAAGAAAAAAGAATTTTCTTTAAAAATCAAATATAATAGAAGATACAGTGAGAGTAAAAAACGAGAAAGGGAAAGAAAATGATGAAGATAGTTTTGTTCTAGTAAGCAAAGTTCGTGGGATCTCATCGTTGATTTTCTTACAAGTTTCATCGAAAAATAGACACAAGAGGATATATATATATGCCCGTTTATCTCTTGAAAACACATGTTTATCTTTTATATTTTGTCTGAATATTCATATAATATCTAGACACTTTCTCGACCACTTAAGAATATAATTTGGTTTTAGAATGACAATGAAATACGATAATTATAAAAATTGATTAAAATTTTTTTCTATCTCGATTCCATTTATATCTTATGATGAACAATTGAGAAACTTTTTATCAGAATGCAAGAGATTTAATTTTTGTAGTAGAAAATAATTATCTTGTGATTATTTATTTTACATGATGAATTTCTTTGCCTTTGTCAGAGATTTCTATTTCATGTATATTTAATATCATATATACAATATATATATACATATATATTAAAAGTATTCGTACTTTCATCTATGTAATTTTAATGTTTGCATTAGAGATTTCTGTTTCACGTATATTTAAATATACGAGTACAATATATCAAATATTGTTAATGATGGTTTTGAGATAGACGACATAGTTTTGAATATACATATATGTAATGTGCATTAGAGAATTAAACTTCGTTTTTGATTCTTTCATTCTTACAGTATTTGATGACTACTAATATTTTTATTGATTAATGATAATTGGATAATTATATATATCGTAATGATATAAATGATTCTATAAAACCATAAATCTATTTTTAGATGTACTTAGATGTATTTATTCATAATGTGAAACATCTAAAAATAGAAAATTTCGGTCTGGAAAGTGTCGGAATCAATTAATATTTGGATACATATTTTATAAGCCTCTGTGTAAACTTCCGGCAGATTTATCAGTCATGAACATTCTAGCCAAGTTACCAAGGGATTTTCACGGGGAATTCTTAATCTAGTAATGTTATGTGGGAGATTGATTATAGAGATTTTTGTCACGTATAATTTTTTTTCAAATCACAATGATGTTTTTTCCTTTCTTTTCTCTTTTTACGCAGCGTATACTACTATATTATTAAATATCAATACGCTACAGTGAAACTTCCGTATTTGCAACCGATCGCGATCTGAAAAGATTAATGGAAAATTTAATTCCATCAAATTTCGTTAATCATATCGAATCAGCGTTCGAATCTGCATTGTATTTTTCGAAAGCATATCGATTTTTCACTGTAAAAAAATTTTACTTTATCTAACAATGGCTCCAAAGAGAAAAATGTAGTAATGCTAGTGAGGTTATTCGGGTCGTAAACTGCTTTAAATGAATGAATAGTGTTCGCCACTATTGATAATTTCAATTATGCAGAATCTTGGAACTTATCCCCGTGGATACGGGATTTTACTGTAATTACTGGAAAAAATAATTGGAAAAAATAATGAAGTAAACAAAAACGCATACATTATATATGCATATATACATATATATCTATGTAATATTTAAGCAGAGAAAATTTGTTTTGAAATAGAGAGAGAGAGAGAGAGAAAGAGAGGGCAAGAGAGAGTATGTGTTGTCGAAAAATAACAAAAAAAAAATAATTATAATAATAACAAATTAACAAAAAGAAGTGACGAAAGCACAACGAAAATTATGTTTCATGGAGAGTCGTGTTTAGTTGCGGTTTACAGAAAAGCTGAAGAAAAGGTCCTACATCTCCTGATGAACTAAATTGATGCTGGCAGCCTCGAGGAAGAAAGAAGATTACATTCTGGAGTCTCGTCATCGATCTTCTAGCTCCACGACGATGCAAGATTGTATCTTAACTATAATACATATATACGCTTTCAAAAAAAAATATATGTGATAAACATGTCTTTACTTTATTCATCAGTACACACTATCTTCCTGATAAATATGTTATTTTTATTTTATATGCTATTGCATTATTCCAATTATTAATCGAAAGGTGGAACCGATTGAAAAAAGAATTCGATTAAACACTTTCGATCTTGCTAATTAATTTATTTCTGTAACTTGGTGTTCAACAGCAGGAGTCGAAAGTGTATGATGAATTGGAACATAAAATTTTACATGTAAAATGATTATGTTCCCCGTTTTGTTCCATAATATATACTAGTCCCATCTGTGAAATTGGAAACATTAATATCAGAATTATATATTTATCTTTTAATAGTTGAGATCTTAAAAATTAATTTATCAAAAGTATCCAAGCTTGTGTATATAATATCTAATAATATCTAATAAACAGAAAAAAAATATACATCATTGGACAAAATTATAGTAATTTTATAGTAATAAGCTCTTTGTGATAAATAGAAGTATTTTTTGTAATACTCAATAAACATTATATTTAAGCAATATTCGTTATTTAAATGACAAAATATTAAAAAATATTCTAATATATTGCTATAATTTTGTCCATTACTTATTAATTGTAAATAAATAAGATTATAGATATTCTAAAGTTAACAACTTGGATAATTTTGAGAAATTAATTTTTAATTGCAGTGTTATTTTATTTTTCATATTTAGTTGAAATATTAAAAAAACGCACAGAATATTGTGAAAGCGCAACACAATCACGGAATGACTTTGTTTGAATCATCACAAATGTTCCTGCATATTTGCAAAAGCAAAAAAAGATTTTCTTCTTTGTACGCTTTTAAGCGTATATTCTAATCTTCGTGTGATCAAGGTTCATGAAATTAAGATTTTATGAAAAATTCCACTCGTTTTCTATGTTATAAAATGTAGAATTAAATGTACATAAAAATATCATGATAATGGTATTGTATTAAATGTGACAATGCATATTTTAAAAATATGTAATCTAATATAATATAGTAATATACTATAATAATTTCTATTCTTGATTATACAAGAATTGAAATTAGAAAATTTAGTATTTTTGCAATAAGAAAAACTCTTTCATGTTTTAGATGGTGAAAAATCAATGCTATTATATTTTTCTAATATGGTGTTCTAAGATTTAATATCTCTTTTTCTTATATATTTAATCTTTATTTTTCTGAATTTCATAAATTTAAAAGAATATATTATTTTTTAATTTATTTTTTTAGTTACATATATTATATAAATTATTTTTTAAATAACATATTATCCATTCATCGAAATTAGATATAAAGCAAATATACGAGTTGTAAAAAAATATTGCAATCACTTCTTGTGCATGAAAGAGTTAAGAATAATTTAAAAAAAATTACATGAATATTATATATTTAATCTTCGCAAGGAAGGAAATATTAAAAATAAACAAAAATAGCGTGAACGGTTCACCTTTCGAAAATATTTTTCTTTATCAGATATCATTAAAATAAATGATAATACACATAATAATTGTTCTGTGAGTTCCAGTTGTACATATTAATTTTTATTGTATATCGCATAGTTATTCATTGCTCCAGCTGAACTCTTTGTGGCTCACATTAATCTATAATAATAACAATTGTAATGTAAAGAATGATCTCGTTATATAATGATTAGCAATGTATTATTTGTATATACATATAAAGTTTTTGTAATTTTAATTAATTTCATTTAATATATATTTTAATCAAAAGTATCATTTTTTAGAAAAAAATGAGAAGAAAAAAGGACCACAAAGGGCTGAGCATCTGGTATCTTTTAACAAGTATCAGGAAATGAATAATGGATTCTCACAGAACACAATATAAGATAATTAAATCCTCTGATATGCAAAAAAAAAAAAAATCCCAAGAAATTTTTATGTTGTAATACACAAGACCAGTTTGCATGATCACATACATTCATATCACGTGATTATGTTTCGATGTGCCATTTTAAAATATCATAATAATTAATTCGACTATGCAGATAGAGATAAGAGGCATTGCTAGATCAAGCATGATCAACTCATAGTCTAATTGTTTGAGTTTATTCATATTTTAATTCTTTGCGATTCAATGATTTTTCAATTTGAAGTTTAGATGATTTTAATTTGTCCTTTTTATTATTGCCATCTTCATTAATCATAAGGTTTTCATGAAATTAGAATTAAATTGTATTTATCAATATTTTAATTTTTTGTTTTGAAAAAGATGCGCATTCATTTTATTATATTTAAGATCTTTTTATATAATTTGGTAAAATAAAATAAATATATATTTTATATATTTATATATATAAAATAAATATATTATTTAAAAGTGATAATATTCATAGATTTGTAAAATTTCTATTTTTAAAGATAAATGCTTTTAAAATATAGACTATATTCCTTTTATTATAATATAATATAATATGAAATATTAAATGAAATGTAATATTGACTTTTTACATTTGTTATAAAAAAATAAAAAAAGAATAATATTAATAATTTACGAAATATGTAAAATTTATAAACAGTATTAATATTATAATAAGTATTTCTAATTTTATAAATGCAATTAATATTGAAATAATATTTTAACATAATAAGTTCAATATTACTATATTAAATAATTTGATAGTATATTAAATTATTTTAAATATATTAGAATCATATATACAATGTTCTTAAAAACTGTTGCATCTATTTTACAAGTAATAAATATTCGTCTATGTTTATATAATTATTCAAATAGAATCGCAAAGTATTAATATATGTAAAATATTACTTTTATTTTACTTATATAATTCCAAATTCAAAATTTTTGTAATAATCATTGCATTTGAATATAAAGATTAAATTAATTCTTATAAATAATATATCAACAATTCGACTATAAGTATAGTTTTTAGAGAATCAAATGTATACATCATAGTTCTTAAAAAAAATCTTCGAGTTGTGCACATACTGCAACAGAATCCTGCATCTCCTGGATTTGTTAGCATTCTGTGTATGAATTTCATTATGTATAGATTTTTTTATTGCGATTTATCAGTTAGAAAGATATGTCACTGTAGTTCAATTCACCATTTTTTTTTCAATCCCTATGTTATGCTTATCTGTGATTCAAAAAATCAAGATTTTATTCTATCTGAGAATTAGGAAAAATATTTTAATTTCATTTCGGCGTAGATTTCAATATAATTTCTTTAAACATTTAAACAATGAAGCAATTATAATATTATGTTGCCTTTCATTGATTAAAAAAAAGAAAAAGAAAAAGAAAAAAAGAAAAAACTACATTGCATTCTTAGATTATGCGATAAATATTTTTTTTTTTACATGAGAAGTATTTTTTTCTGTGCTAATAATAAGAATTGTTCATTTAAAGCGCAATTTTTAAGTTGAGAGATAAGGTTCAAATTTATAATTACAAAGATATTTGCGCTTTTTATCTTTTTAATTTTTTTTTTCTGATTTTTTTTATTGTTTTCATTTTAACATTATTTAAGAGAAATTAATGATTGCTCAAGAGATATAAGTTTAGTATTAAGTTAGTATTTAGGATTTTTTTTAACCTTATCTTTTTTTTTTTTTAAATAACTTGTTACGTGCAATTTCATAATTTATAAAATTAACTTAAACTAGAAACTATTAGTTTCATTTGTTGCGTTTTAAATGAATAATTTTGTGTTTTTATAAAAAGTACAAAGAGCTGTGAAATTTTTTTTAATTCTAATTTTATTTTTTAATGATTTATATTTAACAATATATAATATTCTATTTATAAAAATCATATTTTATTATAGAAATTTTAATCAAACATTGACATTGTGAATTATAAAATTATATAAACAAGCGTATAATGGAACATAAAATGATATAGTTTCAATTTTTTGAAACTACAAAGCGCTTTATATTAAAAAATATTATTAAAGAGAACTATTATAGTTCTACATAACAATATTAAACAATGCGATTATTATCAAGAAAATTTTATACCAAAAAACTAAAAATCTAAATTTTTGTGAAACTACAAAAAATTGTTAATATTTAGTGACCTTAACAGAATCGACGAAAATCTTTTGTACTATCAAAAGATCATTATAAATTTAATGACATTTTTTGTAAGTAAGTATGCAATGAAATGCTTAGAATTTTCAATATTTGATATTTCATATTATTAGATCATATAGATAATTTTTTTCTTCTTAATTCAAGAGTTAAATTGAGATGTGAAGAACTAATGTTAATTATAATGAAAAAATATCATAAAATGTGAATTTACAATCAATTGTCACATTCAAGAAATTAGAAATGTCTGAAAAAGATAAATTAATGTTAAGAGATAAAAAAGTAAATATATATTTACTTTTATATATTTAATTATCAAAAGTATAAGTTTATCTTTGTTTTGCAATAATTTTAAATAAGTAAATTAATTCTATAACTATAAAATTCTATAACTGTTATATTATAAACATTTATAAGCTTCTTAAAATATTTAGAAAAAACAACTAAAAATATAATAAATATATGAAAAATCCTATATGGATTTTTTTTATAATCTTAAAAAAAAAATTTTTTTTAAAGAAACATTAAAATAAATATACAATATTGGAAAATTTGACAGATATTCATTGTTTCAATATCTTTTTTTATTATGTCAAAAATATGAAAATAAAAAAACAAGTAAATTATTCTATATTAATATTATACAATTTCAACGTTGTTTTTATGATAGAAAAATAAGTAAAAAAGATATAAGAAAAGACAAGTGATAGAAACAAATCGTCTATCAGTTACACATAACTTATTTAAATTAGTCGCATAGTATATTAGTTTTAACGAATGAACAGTATTTTAAGAGGCTTAATTTCCAAATATGCCGCGCATGGCATCTTTGCATAATTGCTCGTAAAGAATTTCCTTTTATATATAGTAATATATGTTTTTGTTGTATAAAGTTACTATTCATAAATCTGTT